TGCATGGACATTCTTACCCTGCACAAAAAGTCCATATGCAACATTATTTTCAGATTCATGAAATGTGCACACCAGCTTATGTGTTCTTTACACCGTGCATCTGTTAGTGAAACACAGTCATGTTAAACCAACAGGCTTAGTATTAGTAAAAGTAGTAATTGCAGCACTAGCAGTATTTTTATTCAGCTTTGAAAAAAACTTGTTTAGAGTTTCAAAGACAGCCAGACCTTCGTCATTGAAATGTGTGTATGCATAGTCCGTGCATAAACTTGTGCATACACATTGTTTCAATGAGCTTCATTGTTCCAAAATTTGTGGTTTGTGAGAAGAGGCTTTTTCTAATTGTACTGTCGTGAACTTTAACATTTAACAGCTTGTAGAGTCTGGGATGTCGCTCTTGGGTTTTGTTGCACTTTCTCTGATCGCTGCACAGCCTGGCCTTGCAGTGAATTTGCTGGAACATCCACTCCTGGAAAGATTGGCTGCTGTCTTGATCGTTTTCCACTTGTGAATAATCTTTCTCAGTGTGGAATGATGGACTAAAAATTGTTCGCAAATGGCTGTATAACCCTTTATAACCCATTGATGGACAGCAACAGCTGACATCTTTTTGTCCTCAGCATTGTACACACCTTTGCTGCTCTGGACCAGCAAACTGCCAAAGCTTCTGCTTGTTCAGAGGCGCTCACACTCACTAATTATCAGTTAATCAAGTGCATTTAATTAGCAGGACCTGGCAGCTACTTACTCTCTTTATTCCTATAGAAGCAATAAGGGGATTCTTGGTTTTTCATGTACTGCTTTTGCATTTTAGCTCAGTTTTTGACAAATAAATACTGACACGCAGTAATTTGTCATGTTTTGTTATCTGAGGTTGGAGTTGCCTCATTTTAAGACCAGCTAAGGACCAGATTATTTCTATTTTGTCTTTATAAGTAAGACATTATAATTTAATGATATAATTAAATGTCTTATTTAGTACATGTCTGAATGAAGCCGATAGGATTCCCAACAAGACATGCTCTGCTGTTTGTTTAAATGCTGTTGCTTGCTATTGCACGAAGATGGTACAGCTGAAACTTGCCTTTATCTTATTTCATTTCACTTGCTGTTTATTGTTGGGTTAATTCTTTTTTGTCTATTGTCTTCTTTCACAGGTTGAAGCCATCCTGGTCAACATCTTTGGGGGCATTGTTAATTGTGCCATCATTGCCAATGGCATCACCAAAGCTTGCCGAGAGCTGGAGCTCAAAGTGCCGCTGGTGGTCAGGCTGGAAGGTAAAACGGCACTTGACACTCACCCACACTGGAACACATGCACAAAAGTTTTTGTTTTGCCTCTCTGACGCTGTTAGTAAGTCATCGGCAGTTGGCACTTCCAGTTAAACCAAACAGACTGCATCATTTCTCTTAGGCACATCTAGCCTCCAGCGAAAGAATTTCACATTAATGAGCATTTAATGATTGGCGGTTAATACGCTATAACATGCAACTAGGATCACAGCTGTGTCCCTCGTCACAGTTTGTTCACCTTGACCTGGCGCATGAGTAACATCATCATCATGTAAACACAAGTTCTTTTTGTCTTGCTTTTACATATATGTGTCAGTAAGTTTTACTTCTCTTGAACTGTACCTAAAGTCTCCTTTGCTCAGGGTACAGCTGGTTCGAGTTTATATGGACTGAGAATATAGCTTGCGGTATCGTTTTATGAATATTTTCAATTTCAAAGGTACAAAGAAACTCATTCCCCACCTAGTTTTAAACTTTGGAGCCATTGTATTATTGCTGCTGTACTCTCAGGAGCATATCCATCTTCATTGTGGCCCAGTGTCCCAGAAAGAACAGCAGTGCATTTCTCATAGATGTCACATTCTGCTGCACCTGTCATTAGCAGCAGCCAGAATAACTGTAGAGACGGCACTGATTGGCTCACCTTTCACCTCTATATGCTAATAAAACCTGCTCAGCTGTGTGTGTTTGCCCGAGTGTGTGTGTGTGTAGAGAATGGCAGTGGTGACTCAGAGGCATAGGGCCAGTTGGTGGTTAGCTTAATTGTCAAGATCCTGCTGAGTGGTGTGTCCAGAGCACAGAGCAGGGGAGAGTGTGTGTGTGTGTGTGTTAGCGCTTAGCATTTCATGCTGTATGTCTGCACACAATCTGCTATTTGTAGGTCAGGGCGTGTAAGCTGTTTCTAGAAGCCAACTGTGTGTCGAGGTGCTGTGCAGTAGTGAGGGCATGGTTGTTCAGAGCACGATGTAGTGTGAGAATTTTACTCTTAACTGTCATTTCCACTACTTTCCCCTAAAGTCGAATAAAAATGTCATGCAGGTATGTAAATCTACCCCATGGCTGAAAAAACTTTGGGTCTGAACCAAAAATAATATTGTTGACTGGAGTTCAAACACCCCAAGTTCAAGATGCACATTTGTCTCTTTAGAATACACAACTACAGAACGAACTAGACTGGCAATCTGCACGGATCCTTAATTATCCACCACACATTTCTGATAGTAGCCATAATTCAACATGACTCTCAGACAGTCCAGAAAGTCACTTCTGGTGGATGCCGGATGGTCCAAACACGTCACCCTGACCGAGGCCTAATCCAAGCCTTAGTTGTGGGTCATTACATCCTGGGCTGCAGTCTTGCGGAGAGGATTGGCTCTGAATCAATCAGCTCAGCTTGCTAGGCTGACTGCCGGGCAGTGAAAACGGCCCAACGTTCTTCAACAGGATCAGAATGGATTAACAGGCACACTTTTAATTGGAAAGGCCCTAAAGAGCCAGGGTTGATTGCACTGGCAGAGAATTATGTGCTCCCATATGTGGGGAAGAGAGGCCATGTGGTCTAGTTCCTGATAGAGTTGTGTTAGTTGATAGAGTATGCATGAAGTGTTTGATGTGGGCTGATTGAGTTGATCTAAAACAGTCTGTAATTATCATCGCTAGCACTTAGACTCATCTGGTGAAAACTGAGCAGAGAACACGCAGACACACTGTCGTTATTGAACGTATAGAAAGGAAGCGATACCTAAGGAGGTGCTGTACTGCCCTCTTTGGCTACAGTGTGCGCATGGTCATCTTGTGTTTCTCTGCAGGTTTGTCTACCTCTTAAAAACCTTTGGCATCCAGAAAAAAGGTGACTACATTCATTTAACTCTGTTCTGAGGTGTCCCCCAACTCTCTGTCAAAGAGTGGAATATGTTCTGCTTGAGCTTTTCCTCATATATAGTTGAAACAAGATTTGAGGCCCTGTGTCAATAGATGAGATTTCAACATCAGTCCTGACAGCATCATTATAGCTAAAATAGCTGCTGCAGCTATATGCATATCCAGATACATAAATATAGAGTAATATACATTCACACACTGGTTGATTTGGGGGGATTTCTGTCTTTGATTTCACATATCTTACACATTTTTTTCATTTTTGTAGTGATTTTTAAAAATAGCTATTAACTTACCCTCACGTAGTGTAAATCTCGCTATTTGCCTCTCACAAAGAATCTGACAAGAATTGATTAAATCATGAGAATGAATGTCATGCACGTTATACAAGTATGCAAATAGGGAACACAGTATTAAGATACTAATACCGTAAGGCTCTCTGTTAGAGTTAGCACTGATGAAAACATGAAATCTGGTGCTGCAGTAAGCTGCTCTTAAATAACAGATAATAAAAAATGTAATGTGTTTATGTTTGTTTTAATCATGTAGACCAGGGGTCGGCAACCTTTCTGATGGCGAGTGCCATTTAAAATTTCCTCAGAAGTCAGTGTGCCGTATGATTGCATTAGCAATCAATTTAATAACGCTCTATATGAACATTTACACAATATATAGAACCACTTTATAGAATTATATTTATATTTGTTTGCAGATGTTGCCAGCTATCAGCGAATAGTTATCAGCTATTTTGAAATAAAAAAAGACACTTTTTATCAATAACAGCAAATGAACTGTACAACAGAAAGTACAAATGCTATTTATGGTCTCCTCACAACAGTGATAAGAAAAATAAACTAAGCCAATATGGCATGTTTGTTAATACAGAGACACACATATTAATGTGATCTTTGGTCTCCCACTCAGAGACACAGGTCTCCGAGTGTCCAGCATTCAGACGGCTACCTGAGGACACTCATGTGAGAGAAAATCTGCTCACACAGATATGTAGAGCCAATAAGTCAATAAGGCCTCTGCAATGTTCTGAAGACAGTTAAATTTGTCAGGTAGTGATGTCCAGCAGGTGAAAATGCAAGCTCCATGAACACACACAGCTGTGGATTCCAGCTACTTCGATGTCGCATTAACTGGCATCAACTCAGCCAGTTAATGTGAGACAAATCTAGCTGCTCATTAAAGATTTCTGGTTTGAACAGAAAATAAAACATTGGTCTATACACCTGAAAGCACCGCTGGCGCGGCCATTTATTTTTTGATGCACTTTCTCAGATTAATTCACTGTGTGTCGTGCCCAGGGCTGGACTGGGACAAAAAACTGGGCATTGTGACTAAAGACCGGCCCACCAGGTATTAAAGCCATAAAGCCTTTGAATGAAAACAAACACTGTGGTGACAGTGATGTACAGTCTTGTTGGTATATGTATGATTTCTATACATTTTACATCAGATAAAAACTTTGGTTGTAAGCTTCAGATAATTATTTAATAACAGCCAGACATTTAAATGAGAATAAGAAAGTATTTCTTTGTGCCCCCCTCTCCCTGTTAATGCCCTACCTG